AAAATAATAACAATCTGTACATTTAGAACAAAATGAAAGTACTGGGCTCTCTGGTTCAAGGGCTCCCTGGTGGCTGTGTGTTTGACTGATTTTGCAGCATTAACAAGAAGGGCTGTGCACCGTGGGGAGACCATTCAGGTCTAAACCTGATGTTTACTGACATCACTAAACCCAAAGTCAGAAACGGAACACAATCGCACACACCTGTCCATCTAAGGAGAGCACCTGATGAATTGCTCAGGCATGGGGAGTGAGGAGCCAGAGTGTGAGGCCCCCACTGCTGACCCAGCTCTCTCTGCACCCTCGTGCCTCTCTGGGGTGCCGCTGTCGTTCCTCCTGGAAGCCCTGTCAGCAGCAGAGAGAGGTCTCGCTGGGGACACCCAGACACCAGTCCCCAGATTAAGACAGGGCAAGGAGACGACCTGTTCCCAGGGAGAGCTGTGCATGGAGCCCCCAAGGCAGGGCCAGGAACTGGAGCATGAAAGAAGCCAAGGCACCAAAACTATGAACAGTCAAAAGGGCTAAAGCTCCACGGCCCTAAGAATTGACGCTCAAACCAGGGTTCCACATGGCAAGGGGAGGAGAAAGGCAAGCAAGTTACGACCTGAGCAGAGCCACGAGGGGCAACAAGAAACCTGCCAGGCCCCACACGTGTGCCTGGGGGCAAATGGTTAGGATCTGAGCTTCCCAACAGCCAAGGTGAAAAGGAAAAGAGTCAGAGGTATAAGTGTAGCGGGAGCACAGTCATCTTCAGTTCAACAATTCAGCCTAGCATTCCATAGCAAGAGTGCAGGGACGGAGACTGTGGGACTCATTCAGGACACCTCTCGGGGAGGCCTCTGGACATCGCGCCAAGATTCCCTCACTGGAAAAATTCCACGGTGTGTTTCTGTCCGTGCCTATGCCAGGGTTGGCGCACACACCCACACAGCAGCTTCCTGGCACCCAGCTCTCGGACGGTGAATACAATAAGGGCAGGAAGGAAGGTCATCCACTTCATCTAAACAGGAAGCTCTCACATTTTCCTGATTGAGATCTATACTTTAAAAAGTTAAATAAATATATACACACCCAAAACACTGACACAGAAAACATTCACAGAACTTATTTACATACATTTATAACTGATCAACATATTTATAACAAAACATAAATATAAAATATGAAATAAAATATGAAACACTTACAATATATATTTGTATATCTAAAACATTATATACACATATATACACAAGCAAAAATATATAAACATAAATAAAACACTTTTTTATTTAATTACTTTCTTCATTAAAATATATGTGTCCTAATTGTGCATAATGTACCCTGATCTTTGTTATTCAGTTAAATTCTATTCTTTCATCTTCTAGAACATACAAACATGGTTCCTATTCGCCAGCTGGGTTTTATGACCCGGGTTCCTTGGACAGTGCTGCTCCCGGCTCCGCTCAGAAGCAGAGTGCAGGCCGAGGCTCCGCGCGGCTGCGCCAGGCTTGAATTCAGCCCTCTACCTATTACCTGGGTGATCCTGAATCAGGGCACCAACCATCCGGGTTTGCCCAGCACTGAGGGCTTCCCAGGTCGCAGGACTTTGGTGCTAAAATGGGACATTGGTCCCCCATCAGGAAGCCATCTCCTCAGGTCTCTGTTCCATTTTATTATTTTTAGAATTGGACTCATCATGGTGCCCACCTCCTAGGATTGAAGTCAGGCCAGAAATGAAGAATATTGATAGAATAAACACTCAGCAAATGTCACTGGGGCCTGTGGGCTGTGCTCCTACAGGCCTCTCTGCTGCCAGAGGGACACTGGCTCACACACCTGGACAGGTGTTGGAGTCTGGGGCCAGGGGACGGGGGCTCCTGACAGAGACCACCAGGAACAAGCAAGCCCTTAACGAGGTGGCCCTGCCTCTCCAGGGCAACTGCGGGACCAAGTCAGGGAACCGTGGAGGCAAAGACCCCAGAGCCGTGCCCCTCCCTCACAGCCACATCTTTGCTCTGGGCTGTTTTGAAGCCTGTCCACGAACTATGCTCATTCCAGGGGTGCCCCCAGGAACAGCAACAGCCTGTGCCTTCCGGGGAGCTGGAGTGATCCGTGATGGGGACAACTGCATGACCCAGCAAAGTATCCTGGGAACACCAGGCCTGCACCCGCCGCCCTGCTGACCACAGGCTGACTGACCCTTTCCCATCCCTGGCTACTCCTCGCCACCTCCAGGGGCTGCTGTGTCTGGGAGTTAATTCACCAAGGAAAGAAAAAACGAGGCCAGGAGCACAGCTGGATGCAGTACCGAGGAACTTGGTTAGCCCTGAGGAGGGCCAGTGCCTTCTCGTGGGCACTAAAAGCTGTGCGGCTCTGAGCACGGCCCTCTTGGCCGTGGCTGCTCCAACATCCCACCACCAGCCGCAGGCTCAGATGAGTATCTACAGACCCCTCAGCCACTTCCTTTGAGAACTGTGTATTCCTTCCAGCCTCTGACCTCCAACTGCCACCTGGACTCCTTTATTGCACGTGCCTCCAATGCCACTGTTCTTTTGATTGTTCTTTTTGATTTTTGACTTTGCAGATTTCACAGTGCCAGATTCATTCAAATCAATCACAGTGTGAATGGCAAATGAAAAAATGCACATGATAAACAAAGGGCATACGGCCCCTCCCCTCCAAACGACTTCCATCCCGTGCCCTCTAAACCCACCCCCAAAACAGCCCCGACGACACACAGGCAGAAAGGGCTAGAGCATCAGAGGACAAAGGGAGCAGAGGACGCTGAGCCTGGTCAGGCAGGGGTCAGAGGGCAGGCCCATTGGGGCATCCCTAGAGCATGCACCAGGGGAAACAGGAACGGGACAGTCCTGCTGGGTGGGCCACTGCGTGGACGAAGGGGAAATGGCGCCACCTGCCTGCACACTCACTCTTGGGCCGGGTCGGCACCTTCTCTCCCAGCAGCTGTCACCCGAAGCCACAGCAGGGGAGGGGGTTTGCTGGGCTGCAGTGCAGGAGAGGATGCCAGGCCCCTGGAGGTGGTGGGCAGCAGTCACGCTGGGGCCAGGGGCAGCCCTTCCCAACCACCTTATGGGTAGCAGTTACCCCCTTTCTTCTTTCTGCCACTTACTTCCTGCAAGACCCCTTAGGGCAGGTGACTGGGCCGGTTCACTGCTGCAGACCCAGGGTCCAGCCCTGCCTTGTCATCACACATGCTCAAAAGGATGTGATTCAGGAAATGAAGGCAGGAAGAGAAAAGAGTGAACCTGACACAGAGTGAAAACTGTGTGACCACCCGGGCTGGAGGGGAGAGCCTGGGGCTACCCCTTAGTGAGACAGCTTCAGGACACCGAGGTCCCAGGGAGGGGCTCCGTGGAGGAAAGTGGGTCGGTGGTCCTCCAGACTGAGGACAGCATTTCCTGACGTCGCTTGGGTCCAGCAGGGCCCTGTGCCCCCTGGTGAGGTGGGGGAGGGTGTGACAGTGCCTCTGGAGGGGAGAGCTGGGTGCCCACCAACCGGGATGTCCACGCTGTTGGGTTCCAGTGGCCCAGTGAGAACATGGGTCAACTCCCTTGGCTCCCGGGGATAAAAAAATAAACAACAACAACAACAGAATAAACGACAGGACAAAGGGAAGACTCCGTGTAGGAGGCAGATGAGTTTAGTGGGGAGGGGGCAGGTCTGCGCTGTGACGGGCGGCCTAACACTCTGCATCCAGGACCTACATGGGTCCGGGCAGATGCTGCAAAATAAATTGGAACCACAGCCTCCGAGGGGCCCAGGGACGCTTAAGCACCCGGACAGACCCGGCTGGGCCCCAGCCTCACCTGTGAGAGGTGGAAGTGTGGGAGGACAGAGCTGGGAGGCAGCCTGCGCAGGAGCCGTTTTTTCCAGGGCACCAGTCTTCAAAGGCCCGGACTCAGCCCCCTGCAGGTCCCAGAACTTAGCAAGGGTTCTGGAGCAGCAGCCTCCAACCCCTGCGGCAGCTCCAGGCTCCTGTAAGGCTAAGCCCTGCTTTTCTCTGAGCCACTGAACGCGCCCGAGGGGCCCTGGAGGCGTCTGCCCTTCTCCTCCCTTCTCCCCTCCTCCCAGGCCACCTCTGCCGGGGAAAGCCTCCAAGCACTCTAGAAAGAACGAAGATTCTGTGCCTGTGGCCTAACATCCCCGCCGACCTCATTTGCCCTTCCTGGATCTATGCTCCTTCCTGGATCTGCCTGGCCGGCTCCGGGCCGCCTGCCCTGGCCGCCTCCCGTTCCATCTCAGGTTGTCCAAACCTCACCTGCGCCCCAGGGTCCCTACTCCGCCTCCTCCCTCTTCCTCCTCCTCCGCCTTGAAGCCTCCTCCCTCCCCCGTCCGCGGCCAAATCCAGACCACTCCCGCCCACCCCAGGGAAAGGGTCGTCCCGCCCTCCGCGCCCTCTGGGTCTCCCTCAGCCTCCGTGGGTCCCCGAGTCAGGAACCAAATCTGGCCCGACGTTCCCTACGGCGTGGAGCCCAGGGTCTGTGATTGGGGTTGAGGCTGGCCTTGGGGGGACCTGCAGGCGTCCCCCTCTCCCGGGTCTCGGGCTATTTTCCCCAGGAGGCGGCTGCAGGCAGACGCTGAGGCCCTCGGAACCCGGAGCCGCCCCAGTGCAAGAGACCAGAGGAGGGGCTGGCCGGTCCAGCCCTCGGTCCCAGGGCTGACTCCTCCTCCAGGGCGCAGATCCCCGCAGCCCGGCAGGAGAGAAGGTGCCTGGAGAGGGGTCCGGACTGTGGGCCGGGGGCTGGGATGAGGGTCGGGTGAGAATGGGGCTCCGAGGAGTTTAGAAAGAGAGATTGGAAGGGGGACCAAAGGCAGAGGGCCCAGGGAGAGTGGATGCGGGGAAGGGAGGAGAGCGAGCGCGGGAGCAGGACGCTGGGGGTCGGGGACGCCCTCGGTGAAGCCCCGCCAAGGAGTGCAGGAGGTTGGGGGTGGGGGCGTCCTGGGTGAAGCCGAGTCCAGGAGCGCAGGAGGCTGGGGTGGGATGGGGGCTGCGCCCTGAGTGAAGCCCGGTTAGGGAGCAGGAAGCTGGGGAGGGGGCTCTCTGGGCGAAGTCCCCCGCAACACCCACCTCACCCCACTCAGGCTGAGCCCTCTGGCGTCATGGAGGGGCTCGTCCTAGCCCTGTGTGCCCTCCCGCTGGCTGCCGCGTCTGCTGTCTGCGCCACGATGCCAGGTAAGGAGCGGCCCTGACAGGGCTCGGGGCATCAGGGCTGGGGCTGGGGCTGGGGACCCTGGTCCACCGCGGCCCGCTTGCTGCCCACAGCTCGGAACCTGAGCTGCTACCAGTGCTTCAAGGTGAGCAGCTGGAGGCAGTGCCCGCCCACCGCGTGCAGCCCGCTGGACCAAGTCTGCATCTCCAACGAGGTGGTCGTCTCTTTTGGTGAGTCCCCCTGGGGCAGAGGGCAGTTGCCGGGTGCCCCGCCTCTCAGCAACTCAGCTGATGCGTCCTCCAGGACCTGGGGACGTGTGGGTCCGACAGTGCCTCCTGCTCTCTCTCCGCGCTGGGTTTGGGCGAGCATCCCAGAGTGTGAATTTTGACTTTTCTTTTTCTCCTCCATTTGAGGTGTCTCTAGGAACTGTCAGCAGGACAAAGGCTCTGATGTCACTGAATTTACGAAGACAGCAGGAACACACGGGGTGGGGAGAGGCAGCTGTTCGGGTGGATGGGTTATCCGCCCTTCCTGGCACAGCCCTACAGCCCAGCATGGGGCAGGCTGCACTGGAATCTAATACACTGTATGACAGTGTCATAGAGTATAACACAACGTAATGAATATAACGTGTATACTGCAACTTAATATAATACGATACAATACAACATAATATAATAAAATAAATGCAACACAACACGCCATAACATACTATGACACATAAAGGAGATTCCACCCAAGCTCTTTTCTCCACCATTTGGATTTTGAGTGTTGTACATCCCTTCAGGGGTTCCGTGGTTGTTGACAGACACGTGTCCATCAGAAAGTCTCTGCCATGTCTTTAAGTGAGCAGCAGAGCAAGGAGCCAGGGCTGGGCACCCAGCCCAGCAGGTTTCTGTGATGGGCAGCCCCTTTCCACTGCTCTGAGTCACCCCTTCTCCCACGACGCACGCGCCCCCGGGCTGGCAGGGGTGGTCCAGGCTGTGCCTGGCTTCCAGGGAAAGCCCCTTACAGCCAGTTGCCCTGGAGTTTGTATTTGCTGTGCTGCAGGGCGGAGGTGGCCTGGGCAGCCAGGGTCCCCAGCTCTGCAGCGCCTTGCCCAGGAAAGGACAGGAGACGGTGGTCTCTTGGTCCCCTCATAGGGCCAGATTCCTTGCTCTAGTTCTTCTGGGTCCGGCTGCCCCTTTGGAAAGCATCCTTGCATTTTCCTGATAACTGTGGATACTTCCTTGCTGGGGGGCTCTGGGGCCACCTGCCTCTCCCTTTTTCTGCAGAATGGAGTGTACACACCCTGCTCAGCAAACGCTGTGCTCCCAATGTCCCAACACCAACACGAAGTTCGAATGGACGCCAGCCCCCACGGTGCAAGGCGTGATAACTAGGCGCTGCTGTTCCGGGGCTCTCTGCAACAGGGCACCAACCCCACAGGAGGGCGCTGGGCCCTGCAAGGGGGGCTCCTGCTCCAGGTGGGCCTCGGCCTCCTCAGGGCCCTGTTGTGAGGGCCCTCCCTCTACACCCCCTCCTGGCCCTGCTGGCCCGTCCTGTCTCCTGCCTCCCACTGCCATCCTGTGTCCGCCCCTTCCGGGACACTGGGGGGACCCTCCCTCTCTGAGGTGGTGGGGAAGGTGCCATTGCCTCCACCCTGGATCTAGCCACCTCGCTTCTCCCCCACAGGGGCCCCTTTGCTGGGGAACCCTGTGGATTCAGCAACTGCTCCTCCTGGGAAGGACGGTGCCTCCGGTGTGGGTGGTAGGAGGACGGCGCCTCTGGTGTTGGGTGATGGGAAGGACGGCGCCTCTGGTGTTGGGTGATGGGGAAGGATGGTACCTCTGGTGTTGGGTGATGGGAAGACGGCGCCTCTGGTGTTGGGTGATGGGGAAGGACGGCGCCTCTGGTGTTGGGTGATGGGGAAGGATGGTGCCTCTGGTGTTGGGTGATGGGGAAGGACGGCGCCTCTGGTGTTGGGTGATGGGGAAGGATGGTGCCTCTGGTGTTGGGTGATGGGGAAGGACGGCGCCTCTGGTGTTGGGGTGATGGGAAGGATGGTGCCTCTGGTGTTGGGTGATGGGGAAGGACGGTGTCTCTGGTGGACGATGGCCCCTTGCATGAGGCCCCTTGCCCTGAATGCTGTCCAGGACCCCTCGAGGGGCAGGAGAGCCCGGGTGCGGCCACAGCTGGGGCTCCCCCTCTGCCCAAGGGAAACCCAGGAAGGATAACACTGTGGGTGCCCCCACCCGTCCATTGGGACTATGACCTTCACCCTCTTGGAGATAATAAACTCTCATGCTCCATGGTGCTCATTCCTTCCTGCTCCTTCCCGTCCACCCAGTCCTCAGCAAAGGGCTCTGTGGGTTGGTACCGGCGGCCACTGAGCAGCCAGATCTGCAACAAAAACCTTCCAGCTGGGAAGGGTTGAGGATCAGGGACTGTCCCTGCAGCCTAGGGCCCAGCAGTGGGTAAGCAGTATGTCACAGGCTCGAGGGCTGGGATCCTAGAAGGGCTGGGGCCCCTGAATGGAGGGTGGGGATGAGCCTGGGAGAAAGGGGTCTGTGGCATGTGACCAGGGTTGGGGTGCCCGTCTGAGCAGCCCACAGTAGGATAACAGGAGGTCAGGACTGGATGGACAGTGCCCAGCAAGGGGCTGAGGTAGAATGGGAGGGCTGCCAGGTGAGGCACGGGTATGGGGCAGCCTGGGCAAGAGGACCAATGCCGAGTTCAGGACTGGCCAGGCTAAGCAGGGCACCATGGGACATCCTGGAGCTGTCCTAGGCAGGGGTGGCTGAGAAGGAGGCCTTCTGCATCGGAAGGAGGTGGCCTCACCAGGTAGCAAAGCCCCAGATGAAGGACAATGCTGGGCTGCCACCTGCCTGCCCCGAGGGCAGGGTCTTCACAGCACCCCTGCAGCCTGCCACCCCCTGCGCCTGTGCACTGCACCCCCCGCTGTCCTCCAGCCAGTCAGTGTTGCCCCTGTGGACCCAGGTGGCCATGCAGCCCCTCAGGTAGAGGCCCTGGATCCCCTGTCCTCGGCAGGCTGCAGGCTCTCCAGAGAAGGGTCCTCGGTTCCCAGGCAAGAGCAGGACTGCTCCCCTCCTCTTGAGGTTATGAATTATCGGCTGAATTCCAACCCTGCTGGCTAGGCAGATCCTCAGGGCAGGGCACTGGTGCTCCTCGTAACCGTCAGGAATCTGGCATCCGACGCCTTGGGGCAGCCAGCAAGACCAGTGGCTGGGAGGAGATTCCCCAGGACCCTGGCCCGAAAGCTTCTGTTTTTCTGCACAGGAAGGGCACCTGGGAAGTGATCTGGCCGCAGTGAGAGTGGCGGTTGCAGGTCTTCCCCTGATGCCATTTTCCCAGGAATATGTGTGAATCTAATCTGGCACCTGTGCTGGGGTCAGGGGCCTATGGCCCCCTCCCCACAGCACTGGACCAGCCACTCTTGTGCCTTTGAGAGCTGGGGGCTTTGGCCTCTCTGGACAGGAGGACGGGAACCACAATTCCTTCAGGGGCGCTGCTCAGCTGGAACTCAGAAACATTGCATAATACATTGATTTTTAAAAAATTATTATCTGAGACAAGGTCTTGCTCTGTTTGCCCAGGTTGAGTGCAGTGGCACAATCCTAGCTCAGTGCAGCCTTGATTCCCAGGCTCAAACGATCCTCCCCACATCACCCTCCTGAGTAGCTAGGACCAGGCGCGAGCACCACTCCAGCTCATTTTTATGTTTTGTGGAAACAGAGTCTCACTGTATTGCTCAGGCTGGTCTTGAACTCCTGCCTCTCAAGTGATCCTTCTGCCTCGACCTCCCAAAATGCTGGGATTACAGGTGTGCCACCACAGTTTGTCTGAATAAATGGATTTTTTAAAAAGAGGATGAAGGAAGGAAAGATGAAGATGACTGAATGCTTCAGAGATTAATGAGAAAAGACTCCTCGAGTGGTAAATAAATGCTTGCTGAGGGTGAGCACATAAGACTGGGAATGGTCACAGAAGGGACAGTCAGGGTGGATGAGGAGGGCGGTGCATGCCTTCCCGCACCACTGCTTCTCTCCTGGCCCTCAGTTTCCCTGTCCTTCTGACCTGAGAAAATTCTGAGCCACTGTTCTAGTCTCTCCAGGGCAGTGGGGTGGCCCCCCCTGTTACCTGGGGAACCTGAGCCATCTGTGTTCCCCACAGGCGGCGATCAGACCGGGGGCTGAGCCTCCAACAGGGGGACGGGGCAGGGCAGGGGACCTTGAGAACATGCAGGCAGGTGGCCCAGCACCACCTGTACAAGGGAGAGGTACGGGGCAGGCAGCCAGGCCGGCCAAACGCTCAGGAGTGTGCGGCAACGCATAAAAACCAAAGCAGCCAGAATCCATATTTTTCCATATCGTAAGAATAATGGCAGGCCAGGCACAGTGGTTCAGCCTGTGATCCCAGCATTTTGGGAAGCCGAGGTGGGCAGATCGCCTGAGGTCAGGAGTTCGAGACCAGCCTGGCCAACATGGTGAAACACTGTCTCTACTAAAAATACAAAAATTAGTCAGGTGTGGTGTTGGGCACCTGTAATCCCAGCTACTCGGGGGGCTGAGGCAGGAGAATCGCTTGAACTGGGGAGACAGAAGTTGCAGTGGGCCAAGATCACGCCACCTCACTCTAGCCTGGGTGACAGAGAGGGACTCCATTTCAAAAAGAAGAATGGCAAAAAAAAAAAAAAAAAAAATTCACTCTTTGTGCCTTAAAGTTCCGTGGGTTTTGATAAATGCACAGTGTCCGGTGCCATCGCTGCTGTGTCTAGTGGGATACTTTCACGGCTGGAGAGAAATCCCCTGTGCTCTCCCTCGTCATCCCTCCCTCCCCCCTGAACCCCAGCAAACCACTGATTCTTTCCCTGACTCCAGTTTTCCTTTTTCCAGAATGACCTGTGGTTGGAAACACACAGTGTGGAGCATTTTCAGATTAGCTTCTTTCAC